GTTAAGGATTGCAGTGTTTATTAACATGGTCTGCACAAGGTTTATGAAAAGTGTGGTCTGTGAACATTTGATGGACTCACTCAACAAACACAGAGTAGTCTCAAGACAATTCAGTGTTGTATCAACACCAAACATGAAAGTTGACTATTCATACTACATCGAGTTGGACCGTTACTCAGGACCAACTACAGAAAGTCTAAGAGGTCTCTCATGGCAGGTGGTCTCTTATGACAGGTGGTCTCATATGGCAAGTGGTCTCTCATGGCAGGTGGTCTCTTATGACAGGTGGTCTCTCATGGCAGGTGGTCTCTTATGACAGGTGGTCTCTCATGGCAGGTGGTCTCTTATGACAGGTGGTCTCTTATGACAGGTGGTCTCTCATGGCAGGTGGTCTCTTATGACAGGTGGTCTCTCATGGCAGGTGGTCTCTTAATACATGTTAGATACAACAGCAAAAGAAAGTTTTAAAAGTGGTCTTTTAATAAAGGTTTCTGAGAAATAGCAATTAAAAACTTTTACAGTCCAAATCCAAGATGGACGCCTGTCAAGGATTAACCCCTTTTGGCCCTGTGCCTCAGCCCCTGGAGTGTCAGCCTCTCTATATGTACAAATTTTGAATCCTTGTAGTCCCATCTAGGGATGCTTCCAATCAAATTTGGTTGAATTCCAATCCATGGTTTTTACAAAGAAATTGTTTAAAGAATTTGCTGATGTAAAGTCAGGTGTCAGTAAAGTCAGGTTTTACTGTATAATGCAGGTTGTCCTTCAAGTCAGGTGTCAGTAAAGTCAGGTTTTACTGTATATTAAAGGATCTCCTTAATGTCAGGTGTCAGTAAAATAACATTTTGCTGTATATAATTATTACAGGTTGTCCTTAAAGTCAGGTGTCAGTAAAATCAGGTTCACTATATATCACAGGATGTCCTTAAAGTCAGATGTCAGTAAAGTCATATTTTACTGTGTATTACATGATGTCCTTAAAATCAGGTGTCAGTAAAGTCAGGTTTTACTGTATATTTACAGGATGTCCTTAGAGTCAGGTGTCAATAAAATCAGATTTGATATATTTTACATGATGAAGTTAGATTTCAGTAAAGTCAGGTTTGACCAAATTACAGGTTTTACTGCAATTAAATAAACGTATTTATTCTGTATCTGTATTGTAAAGTTAAATATTAAAAGTATTCTGTAGTTTACACATATAAAAGAATGGGCTAGAAGATATTTATAAACACTATTCCTATATATTATACGTAGTTATCTTCAATGTCTGGTATATCTGTGTATATTAATGTAGTTGATTGATGTTTGCGTCCTGACAAAGGGTAATTAAAATGTTCTCAAAAGTTTAACAAATTCCATTGAACACATAGAAACTAGTTAAGATTTTCAGGAAAGTTTGACAAATTATAGTGTCCACATAAAAACTAATCTCTTTATTGCTGATTTTATGAACATTTATTTTTTCAGATCTAAAATCCTACATTTTTATTATTTATAAGATATACTTATATACAAGAAGCCCAATGGGCCTGAATCGCTCACCTGGTATTAATCTCATACATGTAATCTTAAAAGTGGACTAAAATACAACTACAAGCAGAATATCAGTGTTTGATTCATGAGAACCTATTAAAAGATTTAAACATGACGCCTGTGACCTTGAATGTTGAACAAGGACATTAGGTTGAACAGAGTTTATAGTCTTCCAATCCAGCATGCTTCTAGCAAAATATCATTACTCTGGACCTTTTTGGTTATACAGAACAAATCATTTAAAGATTTAAACATATATTGACCACTGTGACCTGTGACCTTGAATATAGGTGAAGGTCATTCTTTTGAACAAACTTGGTATCCCTTCATCCCAGCATGTTAATGGCCAAATATCATCACCCTTGGCCTTTTGATTAATAAGTAGAAGTCTTTCAAAGGTTTTAAACATATTTGAACCCTTTGACCTTGAATCTAAGTCAATGTCATTTATTTGAACAAACGTGGTAGCCCTTCATCCCAGCATGTTACTGTCCAAATTAAAGCACCCTAGGCCTCTGGGTTATTCATAAGAAGTTGTTTAAAGGTTTTCAACATATTTGACCACTGTGACCTTGAATATAAACCAAGGTCATTTATTTGAATACGATTGATAGCCCTTCATCCCAGTATGTTACTGGCCAAATATTAACACCCTACTCCTCTTTGTTTTTCAGAAGAAGTTGTTTAAAGGTTTTTGATATATTTGACCCCAATGACCTTGAATAACATTCATGGTCATTCATTTGAACAAACTTGGTAGCCCATCATCCCAGCATGTTACTGACCAAATTAAAGCACCCTAGGCCTCTTGGTTATTTAGAAGAAGTTGTTTAAAGGTTTTAACATATTTGACCCCTGTGACCTTTAATATTGATCAATGCCTTTTATTTGAACAAGTTGGGAGCCCTTCATCCCAGCATGCTTCTGGCCAAATATCATCACCCTAGGCCTTTTGGTTACTGAGAAGAAGTTGTTTAAAGTAACAAGTTGACGCAGACGTCGGACAGATGACGGACAAACTTTGGGCCAGGTGAGCTAATAATACTTGCTGATATATATACAGTAATAAGTATTAATGATTTTATCTTTTGCTTTTAAATGAAAAAATAATCTTAATTTTTATTTCTTTATAGTCTTTGTGCGATATACATTCACAATATTTTAAATATGGTAGCGGTACAGAATGAGTTCTGACAATATGTTACAACAGGCAGCCTTAATACAATCTGTACATATATAATATAATATATACTGTACTTGTATCATATATAATATATACCATACTTGTATCATATATAATATATGCCGTACTTGTATCATATATAATATATGCCGTACTTGTATCATATATAATATATACCGTACTTGTACCATATATAATACATACCGTACTTGTACGATATATAATATATACCATACTTGTATCATATATAATATATACCGTACTTGTATCATATATAATATATACCGTACTTGTATCATATATAATGTATACCGTTTTTGTATCATATATAATATATACAGTACGTGTATCATATATAATATATACCGTACTTGTATCATATATAATATATACCGTACTTGTATCATATATAATATATACCGTACTTGTATCATATATAATATATACCGTACTTGTATCATATATAATATATACCGTACTTGTATCATATATAATATATACCGTACTTGTATCATATATAATATATACCGTACTTGTATCATATATAATATATACCGTACTTGTATCATATATAATATATACCGTACTTGTATCATATATAATATATACCGTACTTGTATCATATATAATATATACCGTACTTGTATCATATATAATATATACCGTACTTGTATCATATATAATATATACCGTACTTGTATCATATATAATATATACCGTACTTGTATCATATATAATATATACCGTACTTGTATCATATATAATATATACCGTACTTGTATCATATATAATATATACCGTACTTGTACCATATATAATATATACCGTACTTGTACCATATATAATATATACCGTACTTGTACCATATATAATATATACCGTACTTGTACCATATATAATATATACCGTACTTGTACCATATATAATATATACCGTACTTGTACCATATATAATATATACCGTACTTGTACCATATATAATATATACCGTACTTGTACCATATATAATATATACCGTACTTGTATCATATATAATATATACCGTACTTGTACGATATATAATACATACCGTACTTGTATCATATATAATATATGCCGTACTTGTACCATATATAATATATACCGTACTTGTACCATATATAATATATTCCGTACTTGTATCATATATAATATATACCGTACTTGTAGCATATATAATATATACAGTACGTGTATCATATATAATATATACCGTACTTGTATCATATATAATATATACCGTACTTGTACCATATATAATATATACCGAACTTGTACCATATATAATATATACCATACTTGTACCATATATAATATATACCGTACTTGTATCATATATAATATATACCGTACTTGTATCATACATAATATATACCGTATTTGTATCATATATAATATATACCGTATATACTTAAAGCTTGTTGTATTAGTATTTCATGGTGACTGTCTCTGTTATATGTTGTGATATGTAAATGGTCATGTTTCTGCCGTGATAAAGGGGCGGATCACCCTGGCAGTTTAACGACTTTCTCCGTCTGAACTGTTATTTACTTTTACCCCCCCATATAATATAAACATATATATATATAGATAATGATATAAAGAAATAATGCCAACAAAATACAAAAAGTTCACATTACATTTAAATCAAATCATGATATTTTATCAATTTAAACAATCAACACAGAGGTATATATATCTACACTAAAGGTTTGTCTTGTTACCTAATACACATATAACTATCAGACACTACACACTTGAGGTAAAACTGTAGGTATGTATAAATACCACGGTCTGTAAACATGACCTACATTGACCTACTCCACAATCTACCCTATTAAGTTTTCTGTACGCCTGTCGGCAACCTTGCACAACAAGGAAGTAATATTTTCTGAATAGTTACACGTCTGAACAGGTAGATCTACAAATGGTGGCCGAGTAGCGTTTTCAGTTTGGTCTTGTAAAAACAATGAGGAACTGACATTAACCAGAAATGTCTCCTTGGTCTGAGCCAGAAAACAAGTGATTCATCAAAACAACAAGATGTAATTTAATTCAAGGCTGTGGTTCCAATACTTGGGATATAGACATGACAATATGTACCTGTTTCCTTGACGTTTACATTCTGAGGCTTGGAATGGAAGTGATCATCAGGTAGCTATGATTAAAAGTCTTTACAATTGTGTTTTATGAACACATGTACCTGGATTGGAGCTCAGTGTAAAGTCAAGGTTTAGAGACATAAACTAAAGTCTATTTTGTGTTATTCAATATCAGTTATAATAGACACGTTGTTTGTGTCTATTTATAGACTTCCTTTTCTCTTCCTCAACTTTTTCATCAACATGGCAACACCCATGGGTCAAATCCCTCTCCGTACCTGTACTGAACACAAGGGGAGACCACTGGAACTTTACTGTGAGAAATGTGATACGCTGGTCTGTTATAAATGTCTGTTATCTACTCACAAAGGCCATAATGCTTGTGAACTCAGCGATATTACTCCTACAAAGAAACAAGACATTCAAAACTTTATTGACAAAACTGAACAAAATGACCTAGTACAACTTAGGGAATACATCAAATCTACTGATACACTTCTTAAAGACAACACCAGCAATTTTCAGAATCTATCAGACAAGTTGAAAATGCAAACAGACAAATTAAAGAAAGACCTCGACTTGCTAACAGCACATACGCTCTCTGTGTATCACAAAATGGAGGAGGATAATACCAAGCTAATACAGAAATACAAACATGACCTTGAAATGTACGACAAGCAACTCAGACAACAAATTCAAGAATGTAAAGCAGCACTCCAGCAAGGTTCTCACAAAGAAATCTACGACACAGGATGTGAAATTCATTCCCAAATAAGTCTCCCTGTAAAACCTGTCCTGGGTACTGCCAGTTTTACTCCAAACAAAACCCCTCAACATCACCTAGAACTGGCCTTAGGGAAAATTGACACCTTAGATCAAGGTCAATTAGCTTCAACTGACCAGGATGAGTCAGTCAGGACATCTGGTGGTCAGAAACCATCCTCTACATCACAACAGTCAGAACTAAAAGGAAAGAAAACAGCGACTATGTACAAACTACTGCCACAGACCAAAGTGTTGAAGGAGTGGATGTCTGCTGTTGGTATTAATTCTATATGCCCCACCACTGATGGTCAGGTGTGGACCAGTTTTAACAGTAACACATTAACTCTCCTGGACAGGAACGGGAGAGTAATACAGCAGGTCAAACACAAAGCTTACATCAACAAAATAAGTCTGTCACCAACAACACACACGTTGTGGGTCTGTGATACAGAAAACAACATCATGGAGCTGGTATCAGGACAACTAATACACAGATTCAGTACCAAGGAGTATCCCATGTGTATCTGTGTTACTGCCTGTAACCATGTCATTGTGGGGATGACCGACGACATCTCCAAATTTACCACACAAGGTCATATGGTACTCATTACAAGTGTTACAGGGACTGGGAAGCCATTGGTGTGTACACCATGGAGGATCTCAGAGTGTCCTGTCACTCACAATGTCGCAGTGGTTGATTGGAATAATCAGTATGATGGTGGTGTTGATGGGATAGAACATGTTATTGTTATGGACTCTGATTTCAAGGAACTGTTTGTATATAGAGGTGACATCCCCAGTACATATAAACAATTACCACATAAAGGAGCTGAACCATTTAACCCCTGCAGTGTGGTGTATGACAGTGTGGGGAACATTATCATAGGGGATCGTTACAACAACAGAGTCCTACTCATCAGTGGACGTGGTGAGTTCCTCAGGATCATACACACAGACAGATACAATACAATGGCTGTAGGTGTAGACAGGGAGGATGTCCTGTGGGCAGTGTTTGGTGGGTGTAATGTTAAACTACTACAGTACAGCAGTGTGTGACTCCTGTGACAAAACTAGTAGGTATATAGTTACCATGACAACACAGAGTCAGACCAACAAAACTGACCACAATTAACAACCAGTCAACATTCTACCCTGATTGTACATCATCATAATCAATATCTATTCAACATTCTAGTGATTTTTTGTTATTATGATCATCAGGGAAAATTCACATTCTAGTGAGATAAATTAAATTCATTCTCATCAAAGTCTGCGTGGGGAACAATTTTGTTAAAGCAAACTAAATTTGCTACAAATCACTAAATTGAACTCCTCTATCTATGATATTCATTTTATAGTGTGAGGCTTTCTGTGGATATATAGTCAGACAACTGGACTAATGGTGGCTAGAATGTAAGACAACTGGACTAAAGATTGCTGGCATGTGAGACAACTGGATTAATGATGGCTGGCATGTGAGAAAACTGGACTAATGGTGGCTGGATTGTGACACAACTTGACTAATGATGGCTGGCGTGTGAGACAACTGGGCTAATGGTGGCTGGATTGTGAGACAACTGGACTAATGATGGCTGGCATGTGAGACAACCGGACTAATGGTGGCTGGATTGTGAGACAACTTGACTAATGATGACTGGAATGTAAGACAACTGGACTAATGGTGGCT